TTTCGGGCCTAGACCCGAAACGTCAGCCTTCCTGCTCCTATGATGCTGCTTGGCCTGCTGTGTTCATCCAGCTGTACACCTTGTTGTCTCGGATTTTCCAGCATCTGCAGTTCCTACTATCTCTGATACAATTTTAGACTCCCTTCCCATTTTAATTTTCTGCAGTGTGAAATTTCATTTTCCAGGTGGTAAATTTGGCCTAATTTGCTGCATGTCTGCAGAGTAATAAATATTTTGGCAAAAAAAGTGAAATGACTCATGTATAGAATGTTGCTTGAATCAGAGAGTCATGAAAAATGCTGTTTCTAATTACAATGATTTTTATTTTAACCATGCAGGTGACGGGGGGATCAAGTGGTATTGGGAAATGTATTGCTATTGAGTGCTTCAAGCGTGGTGCTTTTATAACTCTGGTGGCTCGAGATGAGGTATGTTGATTGAAACATGACTCTTGTACTTTCACTTTGTGATTCTCTTGCATTGAATTAATTCAGTGCCTTAAATCAAGCCATCTGAAAGGTTAAGAAGAATTTTGTTTGAATTGACTTTTTTTTTGTGTTCTGTTTGATATAAGGCTATGAAATAAGAATCTTGACACTTTTTTTACTCAACCTGCTCAGATGTTTTAATACACTTCTGGAGAAGGTGGGACTTGAACCTATGCCTTCTGGACCAGAGCTAGGGACACTACCACTGTACAACAGGAGTCCTTGACATTTTTCAATATTGAAAAGTGTTTCAATGCAGGGTCCATTTTCTTCAAATTACTGAACAGATATCTTGGACTGAAGGTGACTTATTTCTGTGAAGAAAAACATGTATAGCATGATTCATTCGTCAAAAGCGAGGAAATGCTGAATTTAAGTAATTTTAAATTGTAGACTTTTAGGATAGACCTCAAAATAATAGTTCCTCTCTTCTTCTAGAAGTTCTCTTTACCAAAAATCCTCTATTAATATCCCAACTTGTACTAAGTCCCATTTGTTTTTGCTTCTCTGTACCCACAATCTAAAATTGTTTCCAAGCTCAATTGTTCAGGTTTTTTCTTTCTTGTGTTTAAATCACTCCATAGCATTCTCCTCACTCCATCTCATTACCCTGTTCTAGTCTTGCAAGTGTTCTGAGTTCCTCCAACTCTGTCTCCCTCTTATCCTTCATCACATCATTTCCTTTAACTGTAAATTTAAAATTGAGTTCTGGATTTCCCTCCCTCACAACTTAACCAAAAAGAAGACGAGGTAAAGCATTGAAGAGTAATTGTTGAGCTGAGGCATTAGTCATGGCAAGTAAAGAGATAACAGATGAATTGAACAGAAGTTTTACATCAGCGTTAACTCGAGAGGAGACAGGTAACATTCCAGAAATAGCTACATTTCGGGACGAGAAAAGGAGGGGGGAAGGTATTCAAGAAAATTGCAATTACCAGGGAAGTAATGCTGAGTAAATTGTTTGAAGTGTGAGTTGACACATCCCCAGGCCCTGATGGATATTATCCTGGGGTCTTACAACAAGTAGCCAGTGAGATAGTTGATGCATGGTTTAAATTTTCCAAAACTCATTAGATTTGGGAAAGGTTACTTTTGGATTGGAGAATAGCTAATGTAACTCATTAATTCAGAACATGACGGGGGCAGAAGCAAAGGCACTTGTATAAGTTCAGAGCAGCCAGGTAGAGCCAGTATAGTTTTGTCAAAGAGCAAACGTGTTTAACTAATTTATTGAAGAAATGACTTGTGCAGTGGATAAAAGGGAACCGGTGAATGTGTTGTGCTTATGTTTCCAGAAAGCATTTGATGTGGTGGCACATCACAGTGTTGAATATGACAAATTGGCATGGGTAGAAGATTGCTTCCTACTAGCCAGCTGAAGAGTAGGAATAAATAGGTATGTTTTAGGCTGGTTGTCATGTGTAGTGTGCCATGGGCTGATGCTGGGGCTTCAACTCATATAAATTTTAATATAAATGATTTGGGTGAAGGGACTGCAGGTATGGTCGCTATATTTGCTGGTGATACAAAGGTAGGTAGGAGAGTGAATTGTGAAGAGGATATAAGGAGTCTATAAAGGTAGATAAATAGATTAAGTGAGTCGGTAAAGAAAAGACCCAGAAAATGGGGTATAATCAGGAAAGTTTGCAATTGTCTGTTTTGGCCCAAAGAATACATAAAGTGGCTTATTTAAATGGCAACTGGTTGCAGAGCTCCAACATGCAGAGAATATCTGGGTGTCCTAGTGCATGAATCACAATGTTAGAGCGCAGGTACGGAAAGTAATCAGGAAAGCTAACATTGTTAAGTGAGAGGAGTTGAATGCAAGAGTAGGGAAGTTGTGCTTCAACACAACTGTTTGGTAACTGTGAGGTAGTAAGAACTGCCAATGCTGGAGTCAGAGATAAGTGTGGAGCTGGAGAAGCACAGCAGGCCAGGTAGCATCAGGAGAGCAGGAAAGTTGATGTTTAGGGTCGGGGACCCTTATTCAGAAATGGGTACGTTTGATAACTGTTCCAGATTTTAAAAATCATGTGAAAATTTAATGGCTGAGTAAGAATCCCTTAAACTTTTCCTCTCCATGTGTTTGTTAGGAACTTTGTACTGCTTGCTGTGATTGGGTTGGATCTCAGCATAAGAACTTAAGTGAAATAGGAGTTTAGGATTTTTGAGTTGTAAATAGTAAAAATGGTGATTCTGTGTAGTTGAAAATATTTTGATTTGTCATTCAAATTATAGATATTGTAGGAAACAATCTTTATCTCTTATGAATATTTAAATTTTAATTGTTGCACCTATATTAAGATGCTTTGAAAAATGCAAAGCAAACTCAAAATGCTTCCTGAATTGTAAATTATTCGTGCATTTGAATTTGCAAAGTTCATTGATCAAAAAACAGTGAAACTGAATCACTCGATTTGGTGAACAGTTAGATTTTTTTTTTGAACTTAGAGTCTTAGATTTTAGAATGTGCTGTCATGAATTTCCAAAATTGGCAGTCTGAAAATGTTTCTGCGTTTTCAATTCCTTTTGTTTTCCAGGGCAAACTTCTGCGGGCAAAGAAGGAAATTGAGAAGCATTCAATTAATGATAAACAGGTGGGTGTAGAAGACGAGTAAGCATTGTGACTGTTGCATACTAAAGCATTTTGAATGTTTGAGTGTGAAACTCTTGTGATTTAAATGCAGTTGTTGTATTTCTAAGTCACTTCTTTGTTCACTGACATTTTATTAAAAGAACAGTTTGTTTGTAGCAGGGGAATGAGAAAGCTTTCATTTTGGCAGGGAAAATTGTACAACTCTGCATAGATGATAAATAGTTCTGTTTTTGCACCAACAATGTCAGCCATAGTTCTAATAACTGATCTTCAAGCTAGCTTCCATAGCATCAGTATTTCTATCAGATTGGTTCCTACTTTTATACTTCTACAGGGTGTTATCGCATGTAAAGGCCTGAGCAATTGTAAGTGGGGCATATTCACTTGTAAATTATTGGTCATAGTGATGAGATCCTTTCAGGTATCCAATTAGTATTGCAGTTTACTTTTTTGTTTTTCTTCTTGAGAAATGGCTTACCCTTTATGCTTTTGCCTTCTTTCCATACTCCACATTCCCTAGAGGTAGGCAAGCTGTCATTTAAACAGGAGTGGCTTTGCCCCACCCCCAACAAACCTTACCTTTGCATGCATACTCTGTTTCACTCTCCCTTGTGTACTCCCTTGTATTTCTACTGCTCACTTGCATCTGTGCCTTTCCTCCCACCATGTGCAGTGTTTATCTACCCATAGGCTTTCTTACCCTTTGTGTTTTCATTTCTGGTGCTCCTACAGTCTCCTTCCTGTCTCTACCACTTTCCGTTATGCAATTAATTTCATCATGTAGTCACTTTTTAAAAATTATTCTGGTTGATATGTTCTTGCATAGAATTTATTTTGCATCATAGATTTTTGTGCTATTTTGTTTACAAAGCATGGGTTTGAGAGAATGTCTTCTGATTGGCTTCACAGGTAGTATTGTGTATATCTGTTGATGTTTCGAAAGACTATGGACAAGTGCAAAGTGTGATTAAACAAGTAAGTCTGCTTTTTAAGAAGTAACATGCTAACCATGCAATTTAATATAATAGATCCCGTGTATATCTTGTTAGTCCTGAATAGGATTGGCTAAGAAAACTGCTGCTTTTGTTGCTGCTATGATGCTGCAGTAGACCTGTACTCTAAATATGTTGACTGACCCACACACCTCATGTTTATTGTGTTGTCCTGATTCTTTACACTTTTTTCTATCTTCTCATAAACAATTAAATGTGGTATTGTGGAAGACACCAACTGAGTGCTGATCTTCATGATTTATAGAAAATGTGGGCATTCTGCAACGCAAACTCAAATGCTGTATACTTTTCCAGAAAATCTAATCCAAAGTATAATAGTGGAGTTTGACTTATTCATTATCAAAAGTTAAAGTGGAATTGTAGGAGATTTGCCATAAACAATTGAATCCTACATAAAGATTGTGTCTTTGATAGTAAAAATTGGAGTTTATTAGCAGGAGCTTATGGTGGAAATCAATATTTTTGCCATTCCAGGGAATAATTTCAAAATTCTACACTAATTTCTTGTTATCCATTGAAATAATCTTAATTTGCTGGGACAAAAGGAAATTGAATGTAGATCTATTTTTGCACAAATGTTGTTTTTAAGTTTACTGTATATTGTACATCATTAATTCTCTCTTCCCTGTTTTATGCACATTTCAAATTATCTTGCTTTGAGAACAGTTAAGTAAAACATAGAACTGTACAGCCTTCGGCCCACAATGTTGTGCCCAACATAATGCCAAATTAAATTAATCCTTTCTGCCTGCCCTTGGTCCGCATCCCTCCATTCCTTGAGTATTTATGTGCTTGTGTAAAGTCCCTTAAACAACCCTACCATATCTGCCTCCTCCACCACACTGGCAGCGTGTTCCACACTCTGTAAGAGATTTAAAAAAAAAACTTGTCCCTAACATCTCCTTTGAACTTCCCCCTCTCACCTTAAATGCATACCCCCTAGTTTTAGACATTTCAACACTGAGAGAAAGGGTTGATGGTCAGAACCTATCTATGCATCTCATAATTTTATAGACTTCTTTCAAGTCTCCCCTCAGCCTCTGCCGCTTCAGAGAAAATGGCTCAAGTTTTTCTAGTCTCTTCTTGTAGCTCAGACTCTCTAACCCAGGCAGCATCCCAGTAAACTCCTTCCGCACCCTCTCCAAAGCCTCCACGTCCCATCTGTAATGTAGCGACCAGAATTAAATGCAATACTCTAAGTGTGGCCTAACCAAAGTCTTATAAAGCTGCAACATGACATCCTGACTCTTGTACTTCATTCCCCAACCAATAAAGGCAAGCGTGCCATACACCTCTTCACTACCCTGTCTACGTGCATGGCCACTTGTATATCACAAACTGCAGAGGTCCCAGTATGGATCCCTGCGGAACACCACTAGTCACAAACCTCCAGATAGAAAAACCCTTCCACCATTACCCTCTGCCTTCTATGGGCAAGCCAGTTGTGAATCCACGTGGCTAAGTCACCATGGATCCCATGCATCTTAATCTTCTGGATGAGCCTACCATGAGGGACTTTGTTGAAACTCTTAACAAAATCCACATAGCATCCACTCTACCCTCATTAATCACCACTATCACTTCCTCAAAATTCAATCAAGATACTTGAGCATTCATCTTTTTAGTGTTTTTACCTATTTAAATGTGGGAATCTCAATATGTGAATAATGTAGACATTTCTGCTAGAGTGCAGACAAAAAACTGTGATCATTTTGTCTATAATGTTGTGTTCCTTAAAACTTTTAATTAAGTAGGTCAAATAAACAGGAATCTGTCCTTTTCTTAACCAAACATTTCGTCCTGAATCATTAATTTATTAATATTTAACTGTCACTGTAGGCACAGGAGAAGCTGGGTCCAGTTGACATGCTTGTAAACTGTGCTGGCATATCTGTTGCGGCAAAGTTTGAAGATATTGACATTGGCTTCTTTGGTGTGAGTAACTTGCATTATTAGACTTAAATTGTTTTCTGCAGATTGAGCCAATTTCTAGGAGCATCTACAGTGAATTGTATTCTACCTAACTAATGTGGAGCTGTACAAAGCACTTTTTTTTGTTTCAAATAAGTGGATGCCTACATAGGCTATTTTGTGTATTTTTAATGTCTGCTGATTTCTTCAGTGTGTGTTCTCTGGTGAAGTGGAAAATTGTTTATTACCCAGGATTTTTTTTAAAAATATCTGTTTTATTGCCAAAATTGTTTTGGTGCTCTGCGGTTTTCTTTAAACTGTCATTGAATAAACATCTAACCCTGGACTTGTTTCTTGGAATTTTCAGTGACTGGAGTAAGACTAGAAAAGGACAGGTTGTCAAGTAATTTATCTGAGAAGAAATACTCTGTGCACATATTGATCAATTTCTTTAATATGAAAATTGGGATAACAAATTTAAGTTTTCAAAGCAGTATTGTGTTAGCAAAGATGCTGTAGACGCAATTGCTTAATTAGCATCAAAAACAGAAATTGCTGGAGAGACTCAGCAGGTCTGGTGGCATTTTTGAGAGCAAGCAGAGTTTAAAGTTTTGAATCCAGTAACCCTTCAGAACCTTACTCTGAAGATGGGTCCCTGGACTCAAAACTTTAACTCTGCTTTCTCTCCGCAGATGCTGCCATACCTGTTGAGTTTCTCCAGCAATTTGTTTTTGGTCAGTTCTTGAGCATATTCAGTTTTTTTTTTGCTTAATTTAGTTTTTTTGTACTATATGTTATGTTGGTACAGAGTAATACCATTTTCTAAAGCACACAACATTGGTTGAAATTGATTTTTAAAATCTGTCTTTGATGTTTATGCTTTATTCCTACTTCCAGCATTAGTGTGTCTCGTTTCACTGTTCTGAATTTAAAGATTTCACGTGGTTTGACTTTGCTTTTTGAAAGTCTTGAAACAAATAATAACAGTTTATACTTTCATTATTTGTGGTGCAGTAGTTTATTTTAGAAAAAGACTTGAAAATATTATTCATTGCATTGAATCCTTCAAAGTTCAACAATGTTCTATTAACTGCTCTTGGTTATGACTTGTTGATTTGTCACTTTCTTTCCTTTGCATAAACGAAATGTGTAGCTTTTCTTTTCTTGCACAATCCCAGAGTTAATCCGAAGTAATTTTCAACCACAATTCTTTCAACAGTAGATGACTATTCATACCTGAACTGTAATTACAATAAATTAACTTCACATTTTTTGAAGATTTTGTAATGCATTGCAAAGCTGTTTTTGTACCTGGCTTTCAATCTAACCGAGATTGATAGAAATCTATCCGATTTGCCAGCCCTGTCAGAAGTGAAGCAAGCTACATTTGCTTCTCTTCTTTCTTAATGTATGAAGGATGGAAGTGAATTGCCAATACTACTTCTGGCATAGGGGAGACTGCTAAGGACTGTGCAGATTTCATTTTTTGTTTGAATGTTTTGGATAGCTCTGTCAAGAATTTATTTTTGATTTTTGTTTTGTTTGAGATCAACAACAAATACGATTACAGCAATGGTATCATCCATGTCAACATCATATCTATGAAAAATTATCTGTAACTTTAAGCTAATGCTGCTCCAAGAAGATGATCAGTAAAACTGTAAATGTTTACTGGATAGTCCATACTATAGTTCATGTTGCTCATGCTGTGTAGCTCTATAGCATGTGGAGAGCACGGTAATGATGATGGTAATAGGAATGCCAGTAGTAATAACATTTTATGCTGGTACTTGAATATTGAGAGCCATCCATACCTTTAGCTTGTCTTAGCAAGCACAGGGACCTGGCATGTGCATGCATTTTATTGAACTGAAAGTGTCTTAACATTTGGTACTGTGCAGATTTTCAAGATTTGATATTCTGGGTTTGAAATCCTTTCTCAGTATAAAATGTTGACAAATCTACTTTTATGCAAATTAAGTGTTGCATCATTTTGTGTTGTAAATGTATCTGGACAATTTGAATGACTATTATTTTGATCAGTACTACTTTTCATTCTCCCAGAGGTTAATGGAAATCAATTATCTGGGTAGTGTTTATCCTACTCGGGCAGTCATCCATACCATGAAGGAAAGGAGAATGGGGAGGATCGTGTTTGTGTCATCCCAGGCTGGCCAACTGGGCTTATTCGGTTATACAGCTTATTCGCCATCCAAATTTGCTTTGCGTGGATTAGCTGAATCTTTACAAATGGAGGTGTGTTTTTCAGTTTTCTGTTTGTTACATCTTTTGGTACTTTTGTGTTTCCTCTCTAAAGGTACAATAAATTAGTGTTTGCTTTAGCTTAATGCTTGATTTTTTTTTTGACCAGGGTTAATGTGGCCAAAAATAATTTTCTTTTAATTAGCAGACATCTTTGGCACCAACGATTTCTGGAGTTAGACTGGACAATATTTGTAACCTATTCCAAGGCCACTTTTTTTGAGTACAGAATTGTTTTCCATTTCTGGGCCTGCCTTCATCAAAGGTTCAAATGAATCTTAGTCACTATTTCTCTTGGGAATTGGAATGGGAAGAAGGGGTACGTGGATGTGGAAGGCTGAAGTTTTCGGAAAAGTTTTGCAGGCCATTCATTGTGCCCACAGCAGGTAGTAAATAGCAACTTGGACAGAGTGATAGAACAGGATGTTGCTGGCTTAATTGAGCTAAGAAATGGTGAGAGTCAAAAACAAGAAAAGAAGGTCTTGAATGAAGGAAAGGTAAAACCCAACTTGATAGATGGGCCTGTTGGGCCTGTTTTTTTTTTTTTTTTTTTAAATCTTGCAATAAGTAGGTAAGATTCTGTTTACAATTATGTATATATATCAATGGGATTGCACCCCATTTAAAAATGCAGTAAAGATTTTGTGTGGAACATCTATCTGTCTGCAGTGTTCCTGTTATGTTAGCAAATGGCACTTCAACAGGAAGGTAACAAAGGATGAGATTGAAACAACATGTTTTCAAATGATGCATGTACAGCCATTGAATATTCATACATCATTCACAGAATCCCTACAGTGTGGAAACAGGGCCTTCGACCCAACGATCCACACTGACCTTCACAGAATTCCACCCAGAACCATCCTCCTATAAGCCACCTAATCTACACATCCCTGAACACTGTGGGCAATTTAGCATGGCCAATCCACCTAGCCTGCACATCTTTGGACTGTGGGAGGAAACTGGACCACCTGGAGGAAACCCACACAGACGGGGAGAACGTGCAAACTCCACACAGTCACCCAAGGGTGACTTCGAGTGCGGGTTCCTGGCGCTGTGAGGCAGCAGCAGTAACCACTGTGCTGCTCCCAAACACTGGTGAGGTCCCACCAACATACTGTGCTGTGTTTCTTTTAAAATGTCATGCAAATGCCAAAGTATTTTGATATTTCATACATTTCAGAACTTAATTCTTATTCTTTATCCACAGTTTTCTAATTAAAAGCTGTCAAGCATAGTTAATGCCCATCACTTTCCCTTTTTTTTTTTTGCTGTAATTTTTAATTTTGTTTTTTGGTTAGGTTAACTATAGTTAAATTGTGCCCTGTAATCTCCATCAATTGTACAAATTGAACCATTCAATGAGCCTGAAAACACTGCCAGCTCCACACATCAAATATTAAGCAAGCAATTTGTCAAAAATTAATGAATCTGATCATATGAAGTCTAATATCTTCTGTTTGTTGTGAGCATCTCTACTGGGAGATTTCTTTTTTTAATACAAAGTACAATATGGCTCTGCCTATAGTGAAGTATTGAATAACACTCTGCTACTTTATGATTTATGCTTAAATTTTCACTTGCGCTGAACCCTGATGTGCATTCAGATTTGTTGGGGTAATGATGACAAATGCTAATAATTCACTGTCAAAACTTGTGCCATTTCAAGCTCATTAAGTTTTCATTTTTGCTTCGTCATGTGAATAAGTAGGCACGAGGTTAGATTCAGCATGGTGAGATAGTTATTATACACAAATTTACTCTCAGTGCTTACCTACAATGCAGTCGCCATTGATTGTGGGTAGCAACTCTTGATTTTTCTCTTCTCCTGACCAGCTTTGAGAACTTGGGTCATCCGATAGCTGAAGGAATAAGTGGATCTGTATTTGACTGCTGTTACGGGCCTTGGGAATGTGAGTCCTTGATTCTCAAGGTGCCCTTTTTTTTTTCCATGCTGTAAATGTTGGGAATAAGAAGACTATAATATAATTCACTATCATCCTATTCCCATCCTTCAGGTGCTCATCAGAGATTGATGCCAAACTTTTGAGAATTGATTCTGCAGTGCTTCATAGATATTTTCCCTAAACTTTACTTATTTGTTTTCTAGGTGAAGCCATACAATATATACATTACAGTTGCTTATCCTCCTGATACAGACACACCTGGGTTTCAGGAAGAGAATAAAGTCAAGGTAATGAGATTTCTTTTTAAAGAAACTGTCATTTTCTGTTTTAGTCAGTTTGAGGTGTACAATTATTGTTGCATTTCCTTTTCCCCAATCTAATCATTCCGGTACTATATATTCCTTTTTCATTGTTTGGATGGAATAGTAAGATGCAAGTTATTTACATTTTCAATGAGGGTTTTAAATAAATTTTCCATTGTTAGGTACTGAAGAAAGTGCAAGTGTAAAAAGTGAAAACCCATCACCAAACTTGCAAGATTTTCTAATGCCAAACAAAGAAATTGCTCATCTTGCACAGATTCCATGGATCATAAATAATGTGAACCCTTTTGAGGGCATGCCAAGACTTCTGTAAATCTTCACTCCTCCAAGCACATGTATTTAAGTTTTAAAATAGTTCCCTAACTATTTCATTTTCATGTGTTTTATATTAATGGTGAGCAGATTGCTGTATATTTTAATCGCATTGGATTCAGCAGAGTCTGTCTCAGAAACGTATAGCAGGAGTAAACCATTTAGCTAATTGATCCCACTTTTGAACATGATCATGGCAGATCCTCTATCCAGCACCATTCTCCTGCTATCTGCTCAAACCCCTTTGACAGCTTCAGCGTGGAGAAATCTATCCATTTTTTTCTTTCTTAATTATTCACTGACTTGGCCACAACATCTTTCTGTGGTTTATTTATTTTATTCATTTGTGGGATGTGGGTATTGCTGGCTGGCCAACATTTCTTGTCCAAGCCTAGTTGCCTGTAAGAAGGTGGTAGTGAGCTGTCTTGAACCACAGCAGTCCACCTGTTGTGGGTTGACCCACAGTGCCACGTGGGAGAGAATTCAAGGATTTTCACCCAGCGACAGTGAAGGAATGGCAGATATTTCCAAGTCAGGATGGTGAGTGCTTTCAAGGGAAACTTGAAGGTACTGGTGTTCCCAGATATCTGCGCCTTGTCCTTCTAGATGGAAGTGGTCATGGGTTTTGAAGTTGCAGTTTGAGGATCTTTGAATTTCTGCAGTGCATATTGTTGATGATACACACTGCTGCTGCTGAGCATTGGTGGTGGAGGGAGTGGATGCTTGTGAATATGGTGCCAGTCAAGTGGGCTGCTTCCTCCTGGATGGTGTCAAGAGGGAAGGTCATTGAAGCAGCTGAAGATGTTTGGGCCTAGGACACTCCCCTGAGGAGCTCCTGTCGAGCTGTTCTGAAGCTGAGATGACAGACCTCCAACAACCACACGATCCTCCTATGTATCAGGTGCGACTCAAACCACCAGGAAATTTGCCCCAGATACCCACTGATTTCAGTTTTGCTAGGGCACCTTAATGCCACACTCAGTCGAATGCAACCTTGATGTCAAGGGCTATCACTCTTGCCTCCCCTCTGGAATTCAGCTCTTTTGTCTGTGTGTATTTGTAATGAGGTCAGAAGCTGAGTGGCCCTGGCGGAACCCAAAGCAGATGTCACTGAACAGGTTATTGCTGAGTAGGTGCTGCTTGATAGCACTGTTGATGACCCCTTCCATCACTTTACTGATGACCAATAGTAGACCGATGGGGCAGTAATTGGCTGGGTTGGATTTGTCTTGCTTTTTACGCACCTGACATACCTGTGCAATTTTCCACATTGTCGGATAGATGCCAGTGTTGTAACTTTACTGGAACAGCTTGGCTAGAGGAGTGGTGAGTTCTGGAATGCAAAACTTCAGTACAATTAGCAGAATGTTGTCAGGGTCTATAGCCTTTGCATTATCCAGTGTCTCCAATTGTTTCTTAATATCATGTGGAATGAATTGTATTAGCTGAAGACTGACATCTGTAATGCTGGGCACTGCTGGATGAGGCCAAGATGGATCATCCACTCGGCACTTCTGGCTGAAGATTTCAGCGAATACTTCAACCTTATCTTTTGCACTGATGTGCTGGGCTCTTCCATCATTGAGGATGGGGATATTTGTGGAGCCGCTGCCTCAAGTGAGTTGTTTAATCATCAACCATCATTCACAACTGGATGTGGCAGGACTGCAGAGCTTAGGTCTGATTTGTTAGTTGTGGGAATGCTTAGCTGTAGCAATTGCTGTTTATGCTGTTTGGCATGCAGGTAGTCCTGTTTGGAAGCTTAAGCAGGTTGAACACCTCATCTTCAACTGTGCCTGGCGCTGCTCTTGGCATGTCCTCCTGCACTATCCATTGAACAGGGTTGATCCCCTGGCTTGATGGTAATGGTTGAATGGAGATATGCCAGGCCATGAGGTTACAGATTGTGCAGACAGCACCTCGTGGATTCCCAGTCTCAAGTTGCTAGATCTGTTCAAAGTCTGTCCCATTTAGCATGGTGATCGTGTTATGTTGCACTATGGAGGTTATTCTCAAAATGAAGGTGGGACTTTGTCTCCACGAGGACTGGGCAGTGGTCGCTCTTACTGATACTGTCATGGACAGATGCATCTGCAGCTTGGTAAGGATGAGGTCAAGTATGTTTTCCGCTCTTGTTGGTTCCCTCACTGCCTGCTGCATGCAGACCCAGTCTAGCAGCTGTCGTTTTGGACCCGACCAGCTCGATCAGTAGTACTGCTGCCGAGCCACCCCTGGTGGTGGACATTGAAATCCCCAGTGTATATTTTGTGCCCTTGCCATCCTCAGTGCTTCCTGTAAGTGGTGTTCTGTGTGGAGTACTGATTTATCAGCTGAGGGAGAAAGGTATATGGTAATCAGCAGGAAGTTTCCTTGCCCATGTTTAACCTGAAGCCACGTGACTTCATGGGCTCTGGAGTCAATGTTGAGGACTCCCAGGGCAACTCCCTCCGACTGTGTGCCTCTGTGATGCCACCTCTGTCAGTCTGCCCTGTTGATGGGACAGAACATATCCAGGGATGGTGATAGTGTCTATGGCTTTGTCTGTAGGATATGATTCTGTGAATATGACTGTCAGGCTGTTACTTGACTAGTCTGTGAGACAGCTCTCCCAATTTTGGCACTAGGCCCCAGATGTTAGTAAGGAGGACTTTGCAGGGTCAACAGGACTGTATCTGCCCCTATCTTTTCCGGTGTCTAGATCGATGTCGTGATCCATGCAGTTGCATTTCTTTGAGACTTTGTAGCAATTGGTACAACTGAATGGTTTGCTAGGCCGTTTCAGAGGGCAGTAACCACATTGCTGTATGTCCCATGTAGGTCAGACCAGGTGAGGATGGCAGATTTCCTTCCCTGAAGGACATTAGTGAACCAGATGGGTTTTTCCAATTATCAACAATAATTTCATGGTCATCAGTAGATTCTTAATTCCAGAGTTGTTTTTTTGTGTGGAATTCAACATTACCATCTGCTGTGATGGCATTCAAACCCAGGTTCCCGGAAGATTAGCTGAGTTTCTGGATTTAATAGCCTTGCGATAATGCCACTAGGCCACCGCTGCTACAGAATTCCACAGGTTCACCACCTTCTGAGTGAGGAAATTTCACCGCATTGCAGTCTTAAATAGCCTGGCACCCATCCTGAGATTTTGACTTTGTTCTGGGAAAAGAAAACCTTTGATCAGGGGAGCATAATACCTCCATCCAATCTGTCCAACCCTATCAGAATTTTGTTTGAATGAGATCACCTCATTCTTCCGAACTCTAGTGAATATGTGCACAGTTGACCCAATCTCCCCTCATATGATAGATAATCTTCCATCCCAAGAATTAGTCTGTTGAGCCTTCACTGATGCTCTCTATTGTAAATACATTCCTCTTTTGGGGTAAGGAAGCTAAAGCTGCACACTAAGGTAAGGTCTCACTAAGGCCCTGACCAGCTGCAGTCAGACATCCTTGCTCCAGTACTCTCAACCTCTTTTTATGAAGACTAGCATACAGTGTGTCTTCCTAGCTGTTTACTGCACCTGCATGCTTGCTTTCAATGACCAATGTGAAAGGACACCCAGGTCCTTTTAAACATATTTCCCAATCCAACACCATTTAAATAACATACATCCACTTTAGTAGAAATACAGAATTGCAAGCTTCACACTTATTAAAACTGTACTCCACCTGCTATGCATTTGCCAACTCCATCTGTCTAAATTCCCATGAAGCATCTTTACATCCTCATCACCACTGGCAATTTCATCTAGTTTTGTGTTGTCAGCAAACTTGAGAATGTTATATTTGAAATAGTTGGAGTGCAAGCAGTGATCCCTGCCCTACCCTACTTGTCACTGCCATCCACTCTGAAAATGATCCATTTACTCTTACAATTTCCTGTCTGCTCCTTAATTCTTAATCCTTTCCAGATATTGCCATTATTCTGTGTGCTTGAATTTTGCACGATAACCTCTTGTGTGGTACTTTATTAAAAACTTCTTGAAAATCCAAAATCACTGATTCTCCCTCCTCTTCATCTAATTCCGTTCTCAAAAAACAATACATTTGTCAAACACTTAAGACTATTATCTAATTTAGTCAATCACCAGCATTAGCTAGATCAGGACTTTTCCCCCTTCTCAAGTGCCCTCTAAGGTGGTGATGTGTTGCCACCTATGGCATGAAGAAATGTTAATTTCTTAATCATTGTTTTTCTCTCAGTTCCTTCAAAATTGACATGAGTTGAGAATATTTTGTTTTGTAGCCTTTGGAGACCAAATTGATTTCTGAAACGTCAGGACTATGTCAGCCAGACCAAGTGGCCAAAATCATTGTGAAGGATGCTGTGGTAAGTATCAAAACAAATCTTGAAAAATTCATGCATGTCGTAAATTATATTGACAGGTTCTCCATGTGCCATTTTAAAATTTTGTCTTTGAGAGCTGTGAAAAGTCTCCTCCAGCTAAGATTCCAAATCTAGACAAGGCTGTCTTCAGTGCACTGAGATAGATGTTATCTACTATAAACAGGGCTAATCTGTTGATGTCCAAAATGACAAAAGATCAATGGAAGCTGTTCAAAAATGAATGTGATTATCTCCAGGCAATGCTTCTCAAACCTATCCCTGGCATGACCCCATTTTAATGCTTGGCTTTGAGAGACCCTGGCTGAAAACTTAAGGAGTACAAGAGTTGATGAGGGTGGGGAGGCTTCAGCTGTTGTGGTAGGAGTGAAGCAAGTTGAGCATGCTGACCATTCTCTTCTGTCAATCCCAACCTCCTCTCCCCTGTCTACACCCCACACCATCAAATCATGATGCAGTTGATGCAAAGGTAGGCAGAAAACAAAATTTATACATTTTGTATAGGCGTTTCTCAACAGCACAAATGTGGTCACAATGAGCTGTCAGTTAGGTCGTACTGACCAATAGGCAAAAAGGACATGCATTTAAAGGGGTGTCTCACCTGTCAGGAACCAGTCTGAGCCCCGTGACAGCCATTGCTGTCTTGAAGTTTGCAACTTCAAAATCTCATCTTGGGACCCTACTGAGGGTTGCGACCCACAATATGGGAAGCCCTTTGCTTGAGATCAAAAATAGAATGATGGAAGACTAGTGAAAACAACATAGCTGTATTTTTAAAAAAAAACAAATCCAGGTGAATCGGTAAAATGGAAACGTTGGTAAAGGGTGACAAAACATAATATAAGCTACCAGAAGAGAGAAATGGAAAAAGATATTTCAAATAATAGTAAAGCTGATGACACCACCGTAGTAGTACGGGTATTTAACAATGAGTCAAAATGCAGAAGAGAGATAGTGGACTTGGTGACATGGTGCAATAAGAGCAACTTTTCTGTCAACATTGGCAAAACTAAAGAACGGATCATTTCCTTCAGAAAGAAAGGAGGAGAACACACCCCCATCTCCATCAATGGAGCAGAGGTTAAGAGGGTGGAGAGTGTTAAATTCCTAGGAGTAACGATAACTGACAACCTGTCCCGGATTTCCCACATAGATGTGATGGTCAAGAAGGCCCAACAATGCTTCTGCTTCCTCAGGTGGCTCAGAAAATTTGGCATCTCCATAAGGTCCCTCACCAACTTCTACAGATGCATCACTGAAAGCATACTTTCTGGGTGCTTAACTACTTCTTTGTACTTCGGTACACGTGACAATAAATAAATCAACACACCGTAATTGTAATTATATTGCAGAAAGTCTTGGCCAAAGCAATGTAAACCCCTGAAATTGATGATAATATTGTCACTTTAAAATGAGAGTAGTGAGCTAGTGTACTGTCAGTATTTACATCAGAAAAAGATGATAGCATGTTGGACATCTTGATCTGACAGGGCCACATGACTATAATTTTGTAAAGTTGTCTCAATTTGAGAATGGTTCTTTGTAGAGGTTGGAAATTTTGCATGTCATACTGCTATTTAAGAAACGGGGAGACTAGGGAATTATAGACCAGTACCCTAACATGTTTTGAAATTACTGGTTGAAATCTGTAGTTAAAGGTATTAATTCTGAACACCTTGTTAGCTTTCAGCTGATTAACAAAATCTAGCATTGGTATATGTTAGGTGATATGATGGGATTTTTGCAGAGTCAAAATAGTGGATAAAGGAATGCCAATAATATTATAAATATTATTTAGTGACTTCCAAAAGGCATTTGATAAAGTTCCTCAGATTGTATGCACTGATGTTGAAACTCCTATAAGTGAGACATGTTAAGTCCCAGGTTAAAAAATTTGGCTGAGTGATAGCAAGAAGAATAGGATAATGGATAGGAACTCAATTGGTAGAATATAATGAATGGTTTCCTGCAGGAATCTCTGGGACTACACACATTCACAATGTTTATTAACGACTTGGATCTGTGCTTTCTGTCCGATCATCAAAGTTTTCCAATGTCTTAAATCAGCGACATTGTAAGAAATGTAGACGGAGACATAAAATTACAAAGAGATATTGATAAGATTTGAGTGAATATTTAGCAGTGTAGCAAATCAATTTCAATGTAAGCAAACATAGTAATTCACTTTGGACCTAAAACAGAATAGGAGACTTTCTAAATGGTGAAAAGCTAGAGTTCAGAAAAGGCAGGGTATCTGGGAACATTGTTAAAATGTCAGGAATCATTCTGAAAATAATCAAAAATACAAGAGAAGTGCTGGCCTGTATATCTAGAAGGCTAGAATATATGGGTATAGATGTTACGATATAGTTGTGCAAAGCTGTGGTTAAACTACATGATACTGGGAGTATTTCTGAGTACTAAAGCTTAGGAAGGATATACTGGCTTTGGAGAGATTGCACCTTAGATTTACCAGAGTGATGCTTGAATTCCACCAGTTAAAATATAAAAGAAATTATGCATCTTGCTTTACATTCCCTAGAATTTTGAAAGTTGAGGTATCAATTTTTTAAACATTTAAGGATGAGTAGGGAATGTAGAGTCAAACTACCTAATTGACTGGCGAGTCTAGGACTGAGGACGTAATAGAGGCATTTCAGGAGTGAAATAAAAGAATACTTCTATGTGCAAAGTGCATTGGAGATTTGGAACTCTTCTGCGATTTGCAATGTTGCTAGACAAAAGCAAAATACTGCAGATGCTGGAAATTTGAAACAATCAGAAAATGCTGGAGAAACTCTGCAGGTCTGGCAGCATCTGTGGAGAGAGAAACAGTTACCGTTTTGACTCCAGTTTGACCTCAAATCCCCAGAGTCCTACTTGCCACGTACCAAAGTAGAATTCATTAAATCTATAAATTTGTGATCACTTAGAAACAATTCACATAAATGACTAGATTGTTGTAAAAGCAGTATTTATTAGTATACTTTAGAAATGGAAGCTTTATCCAATCCAATGCTGTGGTTGCATTTTAAGGCACTTTAAAATGGCGGAATATGCTACTTAATCCATAAAAACAGCTTTCAATCTCTCGGAATTAATGAAAAATAAATGGTATTTCTGGTATTGCTCAAATCCAAAGAACCAAAAAGATCTTGTAAAGATTGGCAGAGTTGAGTGATTTGGTAATGTGGTGAATCTGTCTGAACATGAGTAAATTTATTACCAAAAACAATTACTTTTCCTAAACAGTAAAAAGTGTCCTAGTATATTTCACACAACCAAATTTATCTGAACTCGCTCACTGCCTTCTGTATTTTCCTTTCTCTTTACAACCAGGATGTGTCAATCCTAATCTTGGGTTAAGTAAAGATGCCACTTACACATTTCTAAACCATTATACTATACATCACAGAATGTTTGCAATTGTACAACTGTCACTTGATTGTACAAATATTGGAAGTTTAATTTTCATTGTACATAGGATTGTGTGTAATTATTTTACCACAGAAAATATGTCTAGCATTAAATGCAATGAATCTAAGCCTCTTTTCACCCCTGTCATCTCGCTCTTTAACCAGCAAGGAAACTTTAACAGCTCAGTTGGTTCTGATGGGTATATGCTATCATCACTTACCTGTGGTATGTCTCCTGTCACCACTATTACAGAGGGTCTTCAGCAGGTATGTGAATACTCATAATAATTCTTGCTATTCTCTCATTTCTAAGTTATTCAGAGTGAAGTTCCTCTTTCATATTTGTACATTTTGTTTAAACATAGCTAGATTTTATAAATGTTACTAATCAGTTTTTATTTTTTGCCCCAAATTGATGATCAGCGCAGCCTTGGGTGAGTTTTCTGAAATCTTGCTGGCTTTATAGGTCTCGGTTTAGTATCCTGCACATCTTTCAGCTGCACACAAAATGAAGTTTGGTGGATCTGCAGTGTGCTCCTTCATCTTCCTTTCAAGTAAAGTTTCAAAAGACAAGTTGGGTCTCCTCGAATTAAGAATTTAATTTACAATTCCAGTGTCTCAAATAAATAATCACTTAGGTACAGACAAAGCACCATTAACCTTTTACAAAGAAATCCAAGCACCTCAGTATTAAAAATTCAGCTCCAAACTAAGCTCAAGTTTTATTGTATATAGAACAATTAAATAAGGCAATACAATTAAGTTAACGCTATAGTTTATTCCTAAGTGTACTATGCTGTTGGATTTACTACTTGCTTTCCCCAATAATTCTTGTTTTCTTGGGCTCATTGAAAGTGAGTGTCGCTGGCTGGGGCAGAATTTGTTGCCCATTACTAATTGCCTGGAGAATGTGGTGTTGAGCTGCTATAGTCCTGCCAACAGTGCTGTTAGGGAGTTCTGTGATTTTGATCCAGTGAAACTGAAGGATTGGTGATATAATTCTAATTCAGGATGTATTGTGACTTGGAAGAGTACTTGTGGGTAGTGGGACATTCCCATGCACCTGCTCTCCTGTACTTTGGTGGCAGAGGTCACAGGTATGAGAGGTGCTCTTGGATGAGCCTCAGTGAGTTACTGCAGTGCATCTTATAGATGTTACATACTGCTGCAATGGTGGTAGAGGGATGAATGGGTTGCTAATCAAGCAGGCTGCATTGCCTGTTTGGTGTCTAGCTTCCTGAGTGGGCTAGGACCTGCACTCATATGGCCAAGTGGAATGTGTTCTATCACATTCCTGACTTGTGTGTGGTAGACATTAGGGAGATGAGATGAGTTACTCATGGCAGAATGCCAGGCCTCTGAATTGGTCTTTTAGTTACTGAACTTACAAGGCTAGTCCATTTCAGTTTGTGGTCGATGATAACCTCCAGGATGTTGAGTGTGGGGAATTCAGTGAGATGGTAATGCCATTAAATGTTAAGGGCCAATGATTGGCCTAAGTCAGAAGTCACACTACTCCAGGTTATAGTCCAACAGGTTGATTAGAAATCACAAGCATTCAGAGCACTGCTCCTTTTGTCAGGTCAAGTTCAACTCTGGCACAATCCAATCATTATGTGGAGGTAATAGAATAGAATCCTATGATTAGATTGTCTGTCTCTTGTTTTGAGATGGTCATTGTCTGCCTCTGGTCTGCTGTGAATGTTACTTACTAGTCACCAGTCCAAGCATTGATTTGATCCAGGTCTTGCTGCATATGAACGTAGACTGCTTCAGTGTCGTTGGAGTCCCAAATGGTGCTGAATGTTGTGCAATCATCAGTGAATATCTCCTCCACTTCTGATTTTATGATGGGGGCAAACGTCATTGAAGCAGCTGAAGATGGGCCTGGGACGCTACCCTGAGGAGCTCTTTCAGTGATGTCCTATGGCTGAGATGATTGGCATCCAACATCCAAAACCAATTTCTTTTGTGCTAAGAATAATTCTGACCTGTGGAAAGTTTTTTGCCCTTGATCTCCATTTTGCCAGGGCTCCTTGATACTATAATAAGGCAAATGCTGCCTTGATGTCATGGGCAGTCACTGTTTCATTATCTTTGGAGTTCAGCTCTTTTTGTCCATGTTTATAATAAGGATGCATTGATGCTAGGAGTCACTGGAACTCAAACTTGCTCAAATTGAGCGTTCATGAACGGGTTATTCCTTTGCCAAAATTATCAAACAGCAGTTAGTGACTCCTTCCATCACTTTGAGTGCAATATGTCGTTATATCTTAATTTTTTTTAAACTTGCATACATATGGTAGTCTTCCATACCAGAGTCAGTTTTCATTCTCCTCTGCTCTAGCATTCTCAAACATGTATAACCCTAATTTATTACCTCCTGATTGTAGGTATCTCTGTAAACCCCTTGTGAATATTTTTTCATGCTTCCCAGTTAATCTGCTGGTTTCTGTCTTTGGCACAAGAATCCATGGAGTACCATTTGTAGATCCTTCCATTAGTTTCAAAGTGGATAATTTTCCAGCTGCTGTTCCCTCTCAAAGTGCAAACAGATTGCATCCCACTTGAATTCCACTCGGTGAATAATGAACTTAGGTTTGAGTTATGCTGTAAACAGTGTGAAAAAACTAAAAAGGTCCAAGCTGCAACTAACTCTTTCAGCAGCTATCTTGACAAATTGATTCCAGAATCTTCCAAAGTTCTACCAATTTTCAAGATGGTGTGTCTGCTCAGGGGTCCTCAAACTGGCAACTAGATCTTATTATCCCACTCTTGCAGCTTTGATTTGATGAAATAAATCAATTTTATAATCTTGCAGGGTTTACTGAATGCTTCAAAACAATACAGATCCAAGCACCAAACAAAAATATTCTTGCTGGACTGCACGTTTTGCATATCTTCTGGACATTATGGCTTCAGTTCTTTAGCTAAGCCTACCCACTGTTTCATAACTCTCTTCTATTTTGACTTTTTAAAACAAACGTGGGTCACCTTCTGAATTGCCATTTCTTCAGTGTTATGGCAGTCTCTAAAGCACAACATTTTAATAGCCTTACTTTTATTATCTTCCCAGAACTAAAAATTACTGCTAAATTATTAAAATATACTATGAACAAGATAGTCACACTATTTCCCTATTGCAATACATTTTGTGGAAGAGAAATCCTGTTAACTAATCTATTTGAGGCTGTCCAGTGGTTGTACAGTACTTGGATTTTTAACAGACTTTTGATAAGGTACCACATCAAAAGTTACTATGGAAACTGGGAGCTCATGACGTTCGGGATACATTGGCATGGATGGGAAATTAGCTGGCTAACCGTGCTGACTTAAATGGGTCTTTTTCAAGTTGGCAAGATGTAACAAATGGCATTGCAATAAATCCCACGAATGAACAGATGGAAGGTATGGTTCCTAAAGTTGCTGATAATCAGGAAAGAGTATTGTCAATAAGTTATAAGCAGGCTATAAAAAGATATGGATATGTTTAGTCAGTTGGCAACAAAATGGCAAATGTTGTAAGATGTGGAAAAATGTGGATTTATCGATTTTGCAGAAAGAGTGGGGGGAAAAAAGCATTTTATCTAAATGGTGAGCGATCACAGAGTAATTTGGGTGTCTTTGTAAAAAAACAATGCAGGTATAGCAAGTAATTAGGAAGGCTAATTGTTTATTTCCATTTATTGTGAAGAGGATTGAACATAAAGACAAAGTTTGTATTTTACTTGGGGAACTGATGACACTACACAGAATGCCAGAGTGGGAATAGGTCATTCAGCCTTTTGAGCCACTTTTTGCTATTCAGTGTGACCATGGCTAACCATTAAACTCAGTACCCTGTTCTTGCTTTTTCCTCCAAACTCTTTGATTCCTTAAGCTCTGAGAGCAATATCTTAATTCTTTGAAAACATTCAATGTTTTGGCCCTCAATTGCTTCCTGTGGTAAAGGTTGACTACTGAGTGAAGAAATGTCGTCTCATCTTCAGTCCTAAATAGCCTACTCTATATCCTTAAACTGTGACCTTGGTACTGGACTTCCTAGTCATTGGCAATATCCTACCTGTGTTTACTTTGTTTAGCCCTATGAGAATTTTGCAAGTTTCTGTGAGATTCCCTTCCAGCGAATCAGATCATTTTGACCTGTATCTCTGTTCATATGTCAGTCCTGAAATTAGTCTGGTAAACCTTTTGTTGCACTTTGATAGCCAGAATATCCTTCCTTGGAAAGATAAAACTGATGTTCAAGTATGGCCTCGCCAAGGCCTTGTACAGTTGCAGCAAGGCATCACCGTTCCTATTTTCAAATCATCGCTTTATGAAGGTTGGCAATATTATTGGCATTCTTCATGGCCTGCTGCTCTTTCATGGTTATTTAGAGTGACTGATGTACCAGGACACCAAAGTGTCAGTGCATGTCCCCATTTCCCAATCTAACAACATTCAGATCATATACCTTCCAGTTATTGCTACAAAAGTGGATGATGTCACATTTATCCACAATATTTCATCTGCCATACATTTGCCCACTTGCTCAAACAAAACTGCAGCATCTCTGCTGCATCTTCACAGTTCACCCTTTCACCCAGCCTTAAACTTGAAGATAATGCATTTAGTTCCCGTGTATAGATCATTCCTATACATTATGTATAGCTGGGGTTCAAGAACTGAGCTCTGTGGTACTCACTTAGTCACTGCCTACTGCTTGGTAAATGACTGTTTATTTCTATCTTTGTTTCCTGTATGTCAGTCAACTCTCTATCCACATCAGTATATTACCCCTAATCCCATGCATTTTTAATGCTAATCTGTTTTATGTGGGACCTTTATTAAAAGCTTTCTGAACGTCCAAGTAAACTACAGCCACTGGCTCCTCTTTAGCAACTCTAATAATTACGTTCTTTCCAAATTGCAGTAGAATTGTCAAGCTTGATTGCCCAGTTGTAAATCCATGCTGACTGTATCTGATCCTGTCACTATTTTCCAAGTGTTCTGCTATTAAATCTTTTATAATGGACTCTTGCATTTTCCCCACGACTTATGTTAGGCTAACCGGCCTATAATTGAATCAGAGATAGTAGGAACTGCAGATGCTGGAGAGTCCGAGACAACAAGGTGCAGAGCTGGATGAACACAGCAGGCCGAGCAGGAAGGTTGACGTTTCGGGCCTAGACCCTTCATCAGAAATGGAAATCCACATTGATACCATTGGGCTGCAGGGTTCCCAAGCGGAATATGAGTTGCTGTTCCTGCAACCTTCGGGTGGCAAGGGTCTAGGCCCGAAACGTCAGCCTTCCTGCTCCTATGATGCTGCTTGGCCTGCTGTGTTCATCCAGCTATGCACCTTGTTGTCCCGGCCTATAATTCCCTGTTTTCTCTCTATCTCCTTTTATTGAGTAGTGGGGTTATATTAGCCTCCTTGCGTTCCATAGGAGCTGTTCCAGAGACTATAGAATATTGAAAGATGACTCATCCACTATTTCTAGGGCTTCTTCCTTAAGTACTCTGGGATGTAGATTGAGTCCTTGGGGCGTTATTAGCCTTTAATCCCATCAGTTTCCTTAATACCATTTCCCCACTAATATTAATTTCCTTTACTTCCTGCCTCTCACTTGACTGCGTGTTCCCTGACTTTTATGACTCCTTTGTGAAGCTTGGCCAGACCTGCTGAGTTTCTCCATCAATTTCTGTTGTTTCAGATTTCCAGCATCTGCAATTATTTGTTTTATTGTTATGCATTTAATTGGTCTGTCATCTTTGTTTCCCCTTGAAGATTCCCCTGTTTTTGACTGTAAGGGTCCTATGTTTATCTTAATTAATCTTTTTCTCTTCACATGCTATAGAAGCTTTTCTAATCAGTATGTATCCCACAAGCTTGTTCTTATACTCTATTTTCTCCTCTTAATCATTCCTTTGTCCTCCTTTGCTGAAATCTAATCTGTTCCCAGTGCTTGGTTCTGCTTTTACCAGCCAATTTGGACATCCCTTCCTTGGATCTAGTACTACCAGTAATTAATACTGTAGACCACGGTCGGGTCACCTGTTCTTTTTTTTGTGCCAGACAAGAATGAACAAATTTTGGAGTTCCTCTATGTGCTCTTTAAATGTAAACCAACCCTTCCGCTGTCATCCTTTCAAGTAACATCCCCCGATTTATCGTAGCAAGCTTGCTGTTGTGCCATTATAGTTTCCTTTAGACCTTAAGACCCTAGTCTTAGAATCAAATGTGTCAGTTTTCATCTTGATGAAGAATTTTGTTATGTTATGGTCACTGTTCTCCAAGGGGCCTCACACAGCTAATTTGCCAATTATTCCTTTCTCATTACAAAATATCCAGTCTAGGATGACCTCGTCCCTTGTTGGTTCCTCAATGTATTAATTTAGAAAGCCATCCCATACAATTCCCAGGAATTCCTCCGCCAGGATACTGTTGCTGGTTTTGACTTGCCCAATCTACATACAGATTATAATCACCAATAATTAGAGCTGTACCTTTATTGTTTATGCCTTCCACAAATTACTGCTGCAGTTTGGAGGTCTGTAACAACCCCCCCCCCACCCCAATATTGTTTACAAAAATTGAAATTGCTGGAAATGCTCAGCAGGTCTCGCAGCATCTGAGATAAATCTGAGTTGACGTTTTGGGTCGAGTGACCCTTCCTGAGAAGGGTCCCAATATCTTTTCCTGTACCTTGCTGTTTCTAAACTCAAGCATATAGATTCCACTTCAGCAGAGCTAATATCTTGCCTCCTCATTGTGTTAATGTTCTCCTTAACCAGCAACCCCACCTCCTTTCTTCTTTTTAGTTTGTGCTTCCTAAAAGCAGAATACCCTTTGATATTTAGTTCCCATCCTTGGTCACCCTGCAGCCACCTCTCTGTAATCCCAACTATGTCGTATTTGTTTATATTTATTAGTGTGACAAGTTCATATACTTTGAGAATATTCAGTGCATTAAGGTATAAGACCTTAAGGTTTGTCATTAAGCTCTTGCTGACTGCTCTAGCAAATACATTCCACAATCGCGCGCACAATACCGGTCTGGTCCTGCCCGGGTCTGGCTTCACTGGCCCCAGTGTTCTGGGAATCTGAAACCACCTCCTTGCACCATCACTCCATGCACACGTTCATCTGATTATATTGTGCTATTTCTACTGTACTATGTGGCACTGGTAGCAATCCTGAAATCACTCTCTTAGATTCTGCTTTTTAACTTGTTTCGTAATTCTCTGTATTCTGATTTTAGAACATCTTTCCTTTTTTGGTACCAACAACACATTTTTCAATGTGTACTATGACCACTAGCTATTCACCCTCCAGCTCCACAATGCCCTGTAGCTGCTTGGCCCTAGCAACCTGGAAGGTGACGTAATATCCTGGATGCTTGTTTACGGCTACAGAAATGTCTACGTATTCCCTTTACCATTGAATACCCCTTTCTCATTTTATTCCTACTCTCCTGTGCAGCACAGACAACTATATTGCAGTAAATTTGACTGTTGCTACTTTTCTCTGAGGCCGTTCCCCCAACCGTATCCAGAGCAGTATATCCATTTTGCAGGGGAATGGCCCCAAGGGACTCTTGCACTGTCTGCCTCGTTCGTTTTCCATTCCTTCCCTACTTGTGCAGTCATTGCCTATGGAGGGACCACCTTTCTTTGTGCTAAAAGCGATACTCCAGCTCCAATACTCGGGCTTCCAGGAGCTGCAGCTGGAAACACTTTCTGTACATGTTCTGGTCCCAGGCACTGAATCTGTGCCTAACTTCCCACATTCAGCAAGTGAAGCACACCTTGAACTCTCCTTCCATAGTTTACCTCTTAAATTAAACTCTTGGATTGCCCTTAAGATCCCTAATGTTAATTCGTCTAGGGCCCTTTTCTTGGACCTCTGCACTATTCCCCTTACAAACTCTAGACCTAGAATGAAGACCTTGCAAACTGTGATAGAAATAGTTTAATACTCACCTGAATTTTCTCACCCATTCAGCTGCTTCCTTTTGCTGCAAATCACTTTTGGACACACTTTCCAGATTGCTTCACTGTGGTGCTGTTGCTATTTAAGGATGGATGGAAATGTGTTGGAAGCACTTGAGGTTTACTGGACCAACACCTGGAATGGGTAGGTTTTCTGAGGAAACGTTGGATAGGCTAAGCTTATGTGGGTTGCAGTTTAGAGTAATAGGCAACTTGATCGAAACATGAAATTCTGAAGGGTCCTGTCAGGCTAGAAAGGATGTACCCTTTCATGGGAGAATTTAGAATGAAGAGTCACTGTTTAACAGTAAGTGGTTGCTAGTTTTAAAACAGATGAAGCTGCATTTTCTCTGAAAGTTGTGACTGTTTGGAATTCTCTGAAAAGACCGTGGAAACAGTGTATTTGAATCTTCTTAAGGCAGAGGAGGTTAGATGCCTGGTTTTAAAAGAAAGGGGGTGAAATGATCGTAGGTAAATGGAAATGTGGATTTGAGGTTACAATCAAGTCAGCCATGATCTTATTAAATGGCAGAGAAGGCTGAAGAATCTGACTGGCCTACCTCTTTGTTTGTTTTCTGTGGATACGATTTACATGGAGACATTCTTGAATGTTTCTTCTCCCCAGTTGACAAATGAGGAATGGTGATGAGGAAACTTCATTTATTGCTCCTTCCACATCCTTCTCCAGTGGAAGGGCTAAGTGAGCTAGCTACTGGTTGTTGATGTTCATCTTTTGACATATAGGTGTCATGTGATCCAGTTGTAGCAGAAGAATTTTAGGAAATAGGAACAGGTGTATGCCATATGACCCATTGACCTTGTTGCCTTTAATTGAAGATGTGGCTAAACTTGCAGCATTAGTTCCATTTTTGCTGTCCCATCCCTAATTCTCTTGGTGTCTAAAATCTTTCACTCTTGTTTTGAAAATACTCGCTGAGCATCTGCTGGAAGCATTTTCTTGCTTTACTTAACCACCAGCTTAACTCTAATTCTGGTTCTTGATTTAATCTCTGTGGCGGAAAACTCAACCTGGCTCATTTTAGTTGTATTAACTCGTTTTACAATTATTTTCCTCCTCCACTTCATGAGCGGTTTTTAATGTTTGGATTGATCTTCCTGAAGAGTGAAATCTTTTTAGTAAACAAACATTATAAATGTTAAATATGTATGTCATACTGCAGACCAGTCAGTGTAATTCAATTTCAAGACTCTAATTTGAGGGGAGGAAATGGAACTCTTGTGTTTAAAACAAAGGTTATTTTCAACATTGACTTAATGTGTCTGCTTTTCTTTCTAGATTGTTACCATGGGCCTTTTCCGCACAATTGCTCTGTTTTACTTGGGAAGCTTTGACAGCATTGTGCGTCGTTGTATGATACAGCAAGAAAAGTGTATAGGCTTGGAAAAGAAGGATTAATCTTGCCTTGAATTTGGAAGTTAAGGATCAGACTTTGAAAGATAAATATTGAAGGAAATGTTTCAGTGAACAGTTAATTATTTCTTGCCCCTCCACCCCTTATCTCTGTGGCATCAGGTCTTTTGGGTTGGAGTGGGGTCTGGCTGTGTGGTACAAAGAGAAGACCACAATGGTACGTTAGCAGTATGACTCTGATGCCTTGAATGGAAATTGCAATATAATTTATAACCAGCATTGATTGGGAGAAGTGCACATGAAAGGCTATAAATCATAGAAGCATTTTTTAACGTATTGTGCTGGCACTATTTTTGTAATTGTTCAATTTATTCCTCTTCTCTCCCCACCCCATCCAAATTAAATGAGAGAATTTGGCTTCATTTAGCCTATGTCCCCTTGTTTATTTTTGGTGTTTCATTCAAATTGGCAGAGGAAATTTGTTTTTTTTGCCCTTGTAACTTGTTTCTCTAGCACTGGTTGTGGCACCATTTGAAATTGAATCCTTTGGTATGTTTTTAAAGATCTAATGGGTACAGTATGTGTAACAGAGGTTGACCAAATGTTCCATAGGATAATTGCTAAGCACTTAAATGTGACCCTCCATATTGTTTTTGAATGTCTTCATTAAAACTGTTAAAGCCTTCACTAGGTTAATGACCTTTTGACACTAACTGGACAAAGTTTCCATTTCAATTCGTTAGAGTTGGATGAGCAATTTTTAATTGTGGTATGTAATCTATTGAATAAAATGCTTTACACTCTTTTTCTGTGAAATAGTCAAACTGTATCATAATGTAGCATGGCATTTCTGAATAAGTAATATTTTCCTTTTAAAATTGCTCACATTTTGTGTTGACCACTGATTCTGTAGTCTCAGTATTTAATAGTCCCACTGTTGTTGTTTTTCTGTATGTATCTCTAGTGTGTTTCCATAAAATCTTGTTAATCCACCAAAAAACTGATTGATTGTAAAATGGATAATACCATAATTTACACAATGAAATACTTGCATTTGCATTCACAACCTCTGAACATTTCAAAGTTCTTTACTGCAAATTAAGTACTTTTGAAGCATAGTTACTTTTGCAATGTAGGAAAATACTACAGACCATTTGTGAACATGTACATTTGATGAGAGAAATAATCAGACAATTGGTTAATGGTGCATTATGTCTTTTGCTGTGGGCATTTGTTAGGGTATGGGCAATTTGCTGTAATTTGTTTTATGCAACTATGTACTTGAATTAAGTTAATTGCACAACTTAAAGGGAGCATGGGGGGAAACAACAAAGGCCAGGGTACTAGAAAGTGTTACCCTGTATAAATGCTGCTATTAGACCTTTTGCATTCCCTGGACAGTGTTCATGGAGCCTTGGCCTAACATTTTATTTGAAAGCTGGCATCTCCAACAGTATGGTAAAACTGCACTTGTCTATCTAGGCTTTATATTGCAAGTCTTTGCAGTTGAAACTTGCAAGCTTTTGACTTGGTGAGATGAGTATAATCACTGACCTAAAGCTGATATCTTGTTGAATCTTAAAGTTAATTCAGGTGATTATTGAAAAGAAAATGTATCTTAGATTTTTTTAAGTGTTTAAAAGAGCTACAAGACATGGTCTTATTTATTTGAAACTTAGTCATACAGCATGGACGTAGAAAAACTAGTCCATGCAGACTGTTTCTAAACTAATCTAGTCCCACTTTTGTGTTTGGGCCATATCCCTATTCATGAAGTTATCCAAATGTCTTAAAATGTTGTAACTGGATCTGCATCCACCACTTCCTCTGGCAGTTCATTCCACATACTGTGTTTAAAAAAAAAAGTACCCCTCATGCCCTTAAACTTTCTCCCCTCTCCTTTAAAAGTATGCCCCCTAGCTTTGAACTTTCCCAACTAGGGAAAAGACCCTTCCTGCCCACCTTATCTATGCCCCTCATAATTTTATGAAGCTTTATAAAGTCACCTCAACCTCCTACTCCAGTGAAAGAAGTCCCAGCCTATTTTTAAAACGCAAACCCTCTATTCGCAGCAACATTCTGGTAAATCTTGTTTGAACCCTCTCCAATTTAATAATATCCTTCCTATAGTAGGTTGACCAGAACTTCACACAGTACTCCAGAAGAGGCCTCCCCAATATCCTGCGCAACTGGAACATGATGTCCCAACTTCTGTATTCAAAGATCTGAACAATGAAGGCAGGTGTGCTAAACCTGTCTACCTGTGACGCAAATTTCAAAGAACTATGTACTATGTACCCCTAGGTGTCTGTGTTTTGCAGCACTACCCAGGGCCCTGTCGTTAATTGTATATGTCCTGCCCTTGTTTGTTTTACTAAAATATGCAATACCTCACATTTATCCAAATTGAACACCATTTGTCACTCCTTAGCCCATCGATCCAATTGATCAAGATCTCTTTGTAATATTGGATAACCTTGACTGGCCATTATACCACCCATTTTTGTCATCCGCAAACTTACTAACCATGCCTCTTATATTCTCATCCAAATTGTTTATATAAATGACAAAACAAAGGTGGAACACCACTGGTCACAGGCCTCTAGTCCAAAAAACAACCCGCCACCACCACTGTCTGTCTCCTACTGTCAAACAATGTCTAACGCTCTGCCCTCATCCATCTTCTTGGTTACTTCCTCAAAAAACTCAATCAAATCACGATTTCCCTTGCACAAAATCATTCTGGTTACCCCTAATCAGTCCTTGTCTCTCCAAATGCGTGTAAATCCTATCTCTCAATCACCTCCAACAACATACCCACTACTGATGTCAGGCTCACAAAACTATAGTTCCCAGGCTTCTCCTTTCAGCCTTTCTTAAATAAAGACACAACGTTAGCCACTGTCTAGTCCCCCAGCAGCTCACCTGTGGTTATAGATGATACAAATATTCCTACTAGGGCCCACAATTTCTTCTGTAACTTCCCACAACATCCTGGGATACACTTGATCAGATTCCGGAGATTTATTCACCTTTATGTTTTCAAAGACCTGCAGCACTTTCTCTTGCGTGAACTGTTTTTCAAACATCAATGTTTATTTTCCCAAGTCCTTTAGCCTCCATTTCTTTCTCCACAGTAATATTCATTCAGTATGTCTCCACTCTCCTGAGGTTTAACACACAGCCAACCCCTATCTTTAAGGGGCTCTCGTCTTTCTTGTTTAGACAGACCAATTCATTTGATCTGCGCCACTTAATAAATATTTTCCCAGTCTAGACATAGCATCAACTTGAAATAACTTTGAGACCTTTTCACGACCTGCATATAGTTTTCAGACCTGAGTTTGTGATTTCAAGACTGTCCCTGGTGTGATTTAAGTTCTTTAGTTTCTGTGTTGTTTGATAGTGACCTGTTACTTGCATTGTAATGATTTCTTAAAGATTCTATACGGTTTTTCTTTTGATCACATTAGGACAGAGGGCTCCAAGGAGTGCGACTATTTATAGAGGTTTTACACGTTTCAATGTCACTATTCTAGACAACAACTCTGAATTCTGATGTAGAACTGTTTGGCTTTGGTTGTCCAGCAGTTGTTGATGTGCTTTTTTTAATGTGATTAGAAACTAGTCGGAACTCGCTCGGCTAGACCAGGGTCAGTATTAATGGACTCTACCTTGTACTAAAGCAACTTCTTCATGTTTAAATGTTGGAGTAATAACTTGATTACACCAAAATTTGCACATTTTGTTGACATGTTAGCTGGAATGTTTTATTTTACCATCCCACCATGAGTTAGCTCTAGGATTGCAGGTGCATGTGGGGAAATAAATAAAAAAATAAAAAGGCTTGCTAGTCTTGCAGGTGACCCAGTTGTAATTTGAATGCTATATTTTTATTTGAGATATCAACCCAAAAGAGAAACTATTTTTATGGTACTATAATATTCCCAAACTTTTTAAATACACTGCTGTCATGACTCCTACCCCACTTTTTTTTCAGGAAAATGGAAACGCCCATTTCAAATTAGTCCTGCTTCAGTTGTATATCTGTATCTGGAATTGGATTCACTATAAAGTATGCATTATTGTCTAATAATGTTCAGAATCCAATGCTAAACACATTGAATGAATGATAATTCATTTGTGAAAATGATAGTTCAATGGGATGTGGATCCATTAGAAAGACCTGAGAAAAATTCATTATTAAAATCAAATCTATTATCTCAATTTGCCTGAACTTTTTCAGTAACTTTTTGATAGATATTCAGTAAATATTATTCCCGCTGCTGTTATTTTCTGGGGTAGTGAGAGTAGTTTGTTGGATGGACCTTACAACTTGGTCTTCCATGTTTTATTATGGCATAGAGTTGTACAGCATAGAAACAGACCCTTTGGCCCAAGACAACCAGATGTCCTAAATTAATCTAGTCCCATTTACCAGCATTTGGCCCGTATCCCTCTAAACCCTTCCTATTCGTGTACCCGTCCAGATGCCTTTTAAATGCTGTATTTGTACCAGTCTCCACTACTTCCTCTGGCAGCTAATTCCATACATGCACCATCCTCTGCATGAAAAGGTTGCCCCTTGGGTCCCTTTTTATTACTTTCCCCTCTCACTTTAACCTATGCCCTCCAGTTTTTGACTCCCCTACGTTGGGGGAAAAAGACCTCAGCTAATCACCCTTTCCATGTCCTAATGATTTTGTAAACCTCTATAAGGTTACCCCCTCAACCTCCGCTCCTGGGAAAATAGCCCCAGCTTATTCAGCCTCTCCCTGAAGCTCAAACCTTCCAACCTGGCAACATCATTGTAAGTCTTTTCTGTGCCCTGTCAGGTTTAACCACATCTTTCTATAGCAGGGAGACCAGTATTGAACACATTATTCCAAAAATGGCCTAACAAATGTCCTGTACAGTCACAACGTGACATCCCAAATTCTGTACTCAATGCACAGACCAATAAAGGCAAGTATACCAAAAGTTGCCTTTGCCACCCTGTCCACCTGTGCCTCCATCTTCACAGGACTATGAACCTGCACCAGGGGAGGCGATGGCTTAGGGGTAATATCGCTGGACTGTTAAGCCGGAGACCCAGATAATGTTCTGAGATAACACTGTGTACAGCTGGATGAACACAGCAGGCCAAGCAGCATCGGAGGAGCAGGAAAGCTGACGTTTCGGGTCGAGACCCTTCTTCAGAAATGGGGGAGGGGAAGGGGATTCTGAAATAAATAGGGAGAGAGGGGGAGGCGGATAGAAGATGGATAAAGGAGAAGATAGCTGGAGAGGAGACAGACGGGTCAAAGAGGCAGGGTTGGAGCCAGTGAAGGTGAATGTAGGTGGGGAGTTAGGGAGGGGATAGGTTGGTCCAGGGAGGACGGACAGGTCAAGGAGGCGGGATGAGGTTAGTGGGTAGGAGATGGGGGTGGGGCTTGAGGTGGGAGGAATGGTTAGGGAGGCGGGGATTAGCTGGGCTGGTTTTGGGATGCGATCGGGGAAGGGGAGATTTTGAAGCTTGTGAAGTCCACATTGATACCCTTGGGCTGCAGCGTTCCCAAGCAAAATGAGATGCTCTTCCTGCAGCTTTCGAGTGGCGTCATTGTGGCAATGCAGGAGGCCCAGGATGGACATGTCGTCCAAGGAGTGGGAGGGGGAGTTGAAATGGTTCACGACTGGGAGGTGCAGTTGTTTGTTGTGAACTGAGTGTAGGTGTTCCGCAAAGCGGCCTCCGCCTGGTTTCCCTGATGTAGAGGAGGCCACAACGGGAACAGCGGATACAGTAAATGTTCTGGTCACCTGGGTTCGAATCCCGCCACAGCAGATGGTGGAATTTGAATTCAATTAAGTATCTGGAATTAACAATCTAATGATAACCGTGAATCCATTGTTGATTGTCAGAAAAACCCATCGGTTCACTAATGTCCTTTTAAGGAAAGAAACTGCCATCGTTGCCTGGTTTGGCCTACATGTGACTCCAGACCCACAGCAATGTGGTTGACTCTTAACTGCCCTCTGGGCAATTAGGGATGGGCAATAAATGCTGCCTAGCCAGCGACACCCTTGTCC